ATCGCTCTTCAGGATCTCGGGCTAAGTGCTAAGTTACTGTGAAAATCAGCAGATCCAGTATTTACAAGAAAAACAGACTGCAAAAGTATATTTGTTTTCTCCATCAGAGACATCGTATAATTATATTGCAGTTGAAGGAATACAAGGATACAAATCAGTTCATCTTTGACTTAGATCTTCTGTGTGACCTCTTACCGCAGCTCGCTGCCATTTCTCCCCGCCTGTGGCAATTCCCAGCGGATCCCAGTTTATCGACTGCTATGAAACTTTAACAGGACTTCGGGGTGCAATCCGACAAGGCCTGTGCACTTCGAGGAGCAGACAAACCTTGGCAAACCATCGCTCCCGAGTGGCCACTCATCTTGAGGCAAATGCTGCCAGCGGTTTGAATCCTTAGTACAGGGTCTACATGTTACGATGACACAGTAAACAGGAAGAGCCAAAAGGCGACGGCATGCGAAATTCATTTTCAGTAAATGTGCATTTGCACCGTTTAGATGCATATTTGTTTTTCTTATCTAACTGGTGTCTCAATAGTGGCTGTATGGACACATATTGCTACCTTGACATCAGTAATGCAAAAAGGCTTGTGCAATCAAAAGCATTACAATGAGTGATTTGTTTTTGTTCCACCAAACAAGCAGAACACATGCAAGGGTGGCTGTTTAGAAGATGAGAATGTTTTTAAAAATACACAGAGACCTGGAATGTTGGGGTGGGTCAGATCCCACCTCTGGCTCTGTTTGTGAAGTTGGCACAAACTCCTTGTATTGGCACACGCTTCTGCCCAGTACTCTGGTTTCCTTCTGCAGCCACAAAATATGCATTTTGATGAATCGGTGAGTCTAAATATTAGTCAGTGTGTGACTGTCTGTCTGTCTTGTCTGAGTGCGTGTGTGCCCTGTGATGGGACTCGCTCCAGGTTCACAAACACTCTACTGGATGAAAGGATGGTTGATCTAGGCCAGTGGTTTGCAACTGGTTGGTTACGACCCAAAAGTGGAGTGCGGAACCATGTTCATTGGGTCATAGAAAAAAAAAGTAAAAATCAAGATTTTTTAGTAATATCGGACTGCTGTCATCGCGAATGATGCACATTGTCATCCCATAAATGCTGTGCTGCTTGCACACCCCCCCCCCCCATTTTTGGAAAAATAAATATAAAAATCTTCAAGTTGTGACTCAGTGACTGAGGAGTAATGTGGGGTGCTGAAGCTAAACCAGCTGAAAACCATTGATCTAGATGGAAGTATGTGTAAACTGTACTAATATTGCAATCCAAGATAACTACAGTAGATCACACTCAAAAGTGGCTTTTGGTGGAAAAAGTTACACCGCAAAACAAATTCAGTACATATCTAGCAAGGAGGAGGTAGGAAGATTCAGTCCAGTTTGCAGGTCTGCTCTTTGGTTTCAGGCCAAACTCCTTAACCACTGAGCCCCCTGCTGGTAGTTTCAGTTTCAGAAAATGGGTTAATCTCTGGTTCACTTGCTTTTTTTTTCCACACAGCTAATCAAAGTCCATCATTTAAGAGTTAGTGATGACTGAAGGAGCCATTTCTTTCTAAGTAACCACAACCATGCTTCAGGGACAAGTTGTGGTCGGAGCTATAGGACCTGGATATGCTGTGAGAAAATCTCTGCTGGCTGAGTCACAGCCAAAACATTCACGAATCCAAGGAGTTTTTAACGCTCCTTAGCAGTGCGTTTCCCACACCCACTCTGAACACGCGACGTTGCATTTAATCATTAAAAAAGCTAATGCGAGTATCCATTGACTAAGAAACGGTAATGCTAATTGTCTTTGCATTTAGGTTGGATTTGTTTTTTGCCACAGTATTTATCTTCATATAAAAGGCAAAATAGGATAAGGCCAAATATAGAGGAGCATACATAAACAAAATGCTGACAATCCCACCGTCATCCTCTTAGCGTCCCACGCCGTGTGACATTGCTTCAATAGGGTACTCAGTTTCAAGCGATGCTTAAATCTTGGTCTTTACGTAGGACAATTTAATTGAAGGTTTAGGATTAAGAAGCACATTTGCTCCTTGCAACACAATACTACTTAGCAGATTTAAGACCCATAAAATTTGTTTAGCATCCCTGTGTCAAAATGCACATCAAAATGCATGTCTGTTGACTACAAACTGTTCCATCACATTTAAATTGGTAAGTCTTACAAAATGAATCTGTCATTTTGTCAGTCTTATTCCTCTCAAACCACTGAGAAAATTATATTAAAAGTTTGATTCTGGCAGGAGTTGCATTTGCCTTCATCACTCCAATCCAGAGCATTGAAAGAAACATTATCAATCGACAAGCATATCACACCTCATCGAAACACAGACAGATGTACAGTACAATAATAAACGGACTTACTAGAAAACAAAGACAAAGCAAACAGCGCTGTCATGAATGTGTGATTAATCAGCACTCTATCGTGCATATAATCACAGCATGAGCATTCTCCAGGAGCAACATTTATGGCAAATTTATTAGTACTTAATAAGCCATTTATGCCTGCTGTAAATCTGTCAGCATTTGGTCCGTGTCATCGATTCATTTCTATGACTGACAATCACTGATGCCAGCCATCATGCGAGTATACGCACGTACACGCACACTGGGGGTGGAACCAGAGAATTTCTTTCGCTATGGGATTGCTTGACTTTTCAATGAGGGTACTCTGAAATTAAGGGTCTCCACTTAATGCGTTGGCCACCTTGATTTAATTTCTACTGCAATACCCCCAAACACATGAACAAAAACGTGTGATCTTATACGCCGTACCTGCTCTATAAAATTCAAAACTAAAAATAAAATTCAAAAACCACAGAAATCTATTGAAGGGTGTGATATGGGTACCCCCCAAGCCTCCCCCCAACACAGTGACACACATTTTGTATGTGGTGTGTGTGTGTGCGTGTACGAGACAGAATAAAAATGCAAAATATCTTTTTTATGAACTATTGATGTCTTGCAGCACCTAATTGTTCTTTGCCTTCCAAATCACTGGAGAGCTTGTTTATAATTGTACAGCTTAAGCACAGCTACCTCACGATATATTAAGCTAACTAAAGTATATTTTTTATCAACTTTAACAAAAAACGGCTTTGTTTGATAAAAAAAAACCTTAATCTTTCAGCAAGGACATTTTGCAAGAGGAAGAAGAGTATATGACCTTGTTTTATGTAAATGAATACATGAAAAAAATGTTTAGCTGTACTGGGAATTACCTTTTTTGGGGGGCAAGAGGAAAGAGACGATACAGTGGAGGAAAAATTATTTGCCTTTTTTTTGTTGAAACTAAAATGTATGGAGAGACAGTGATTTGAAACTGACTGAAGAAGCTATATAAATATTAAATGCCATGCATTACAAGTTGTTCCTCATGTGTTTTAATCGTGACAAGCCTGGTCTGTCATGTGTGTCAGTACGTCATGGAGGTGGATTGCAGTGGGGGTTAAGCAGATTGTGATCCAGCCCCCTTTCCCCTTGGGAGGGAAAATGTAATCTAACTGAGCCCAGGGCTCCCAATTCCCCTTCAGTGGAGTTGGCTGGATTCATTAAACTTCTGGCTGCTGTCCAGCTCTTTTAACACAAGGAGAGTTTTTTTTTTTTTATTGCATGTCTGTAGAAAATAAATCAAAATGTGTGAATAATATATCTCAGGGAGAATCACTGGCAAGCAAAGAAAAATAGGAGGAAAGTAATTTTATGAATTATAGTTGTCTTCGTCTATGCGTTACGCTTCTTTTGCCAGATGTACAAGATTAAAAAAAGGACTGCAGGTATACTTACTGCAATGTTATGTGTGTATTGTATATAGATATACACACATGTACATGTGCATGTGTGTAAAAATGATTATATATTTACACACACGCACACACAAACTTTGAAAAACTATGTTAGTTGGAAAACATTACATGAAATGAGATAAGCTTCAATTAATTTTCAATTAATTCAATTAAGTTTTTCAGTTTTGTTTCAAATAGCTTTCCTATGCAAAGCATGATAGTTCTCATGACTTTCGTTGGATCAAAACATCTGTTCTTTTCTATGAAGTTCACAGGTACTGTGCTGCTTATTGCCAAACTCTGCTACCTATTGGGTGACATTTATGCTGTAGTACAGGTAGGATCCATTATTTTCTTTTTCTGTGTTTGTGCTCAGGTCTATAATATAACAATCATACCAGAACCATAAAATGTTCTACCGTTGTTGGTACACTGCACAATTTGGTCATCTGAATAATCTCATACAATCACAACAGAAGTAATATGGAACTATGCCGAGGAAGTGAATCTGTTGCATACTTGCCATTGTCCCACAATACACACCCAGAAAGAGGTTTCTGGAGAAATACTGGAACGATCATATTACCCTGAATGCATACCAGTAATTCTCTGCAATTCAGAGCACTTTTGCCATGTTACTTTAATGGGGTAACTTTGAATTACGGGCTGTTGTGCTTCAAAAAATATTTCAACTACATTTCAGTTAAGCTCAAGGAATCACATCCATCCCAAAAAGTCAAACGCCACTAAGTCTAAGAATCAACTGTGTTTCATTGTAACTGCATCACAATTTACACCAATACATACATCTCTGATACAAAATACATACATGGCTTCCATACAAAAATTGGCCTGACGGCTCTGGAGACTATCACAACATACAACAGGGATGTACTGTACTACACTATAAAAAGTCAGTGCTAAACATTTTTAAAAGCAATCCTCTTGTCCTTGTTTTGAATTAATCAGTGCGACGGATAACAATGTTAAACAAAATGGAGATATTAAACTGCAAACACGAAGTAAACCTTTTTAATTGGTGTGTTTATATATTTTGGTTATTGTTTCTGTTAATGCCTGCTCGTGCTTATGGGAAAGCGTGTAAAAACCTCTGCTTGTAAAACATTCAATATTTTTTTCTTCCTCAACAACATTTACATAAAGAATACTGCTGGATTCCTAAGATTTAAGACTTACCGGTGGATGGATACATTTGCTGCACCTTTTCCATACCAGCATTTTTGAACAGAGCTATGTTTTGCTCACTGTACATTTTGAAGCTCCCCAAGCTCCGCTTCCTGCCTTGAAGGTCATGATCTTCTTCCCAAGAAGACGACGACACCCCAAACAGGTCTGACGACAGACCCGGCTTTGTCCGGCTGAAGCTGGCATGGAAGTCGGCAGTTCGCTCTCTGTCACGGTTGCGTTTGCTCTGCTGTGGGTCAGAGAGAGAGAGGCTGGACAAGGTGTCCACTTCAAAAACACTCCTGGAGCTTCGGGACATGCTCTGTGTGCTTTGCTGGTTACACTGTTTGTCTTTCAGCTTAGGCAGGGAGGCCTCTTTGTCAGAGATGTCCAGCCTCTCATTCAGAAGACTCAAGAAACCAGGGTTTTTCGCTCCACTGAAGAGTCCGCCAAGGCTCTGGGGGGTGGAGAGATGGTCCTCCTTGTACTTGTGCTTGTGCTTGTGTTTGTGTTTGTGGAGTCGGACGCTGGGTAAGTTGCTGCTGCTGCTGAGCGCCACCAAGCCAGACTGGTCGTCGTCGATCACAGTAGAGCCTATTTGCTGTGATACATGTTTAGCTTTGTGTTTCGCAGAAGCCGCCAACTTGACTTGTGTGCCAGAATGGAACTGCGGGGGCGGTGGCGGCACTGCAGGCCTCATGAAAGGGGAAGCTGCTGCTCCAAGGGAGTGGGACAGATAAAACGGGGATGGATATTGACCATAATAACCTAGGTTCATCATATTGGTGGCGATAGGCATCGACGAATAAGGCATTGTATAGGGTGCATAGTAATTGCTGCTGGGAATTGGGTAGCCAAACCCTTGTATGAAAGGCATCTTTGTCATTGGCTTGTTGGCTTTGGCTGGCCTTCCCCGTCTCCTCTTTGACTTAATTTCAGAATTCCTGCGAAGGTAGTGCAGAGGGTCATATGGGAAGTATGGCATTGGATAGTAGTGGTCAAAGTTGGTCCGGAAGATGCTTGGATACAAATTATCAGGGTAGAAGTTGTAGCTGCGATGTGAGACTCGAAAGACTTGGAATTTGCCAATTAATTCCTCAAGGTCAGCCAGGAACTGAAGGTCATCTCGGCTCTGTAGACTCTTGCGCTTTCTCCGGTGCTTTTGTTTCTTCATGCTGTCCTGTGCAAGAAAATTCTCAACAGCCACTGCTGTAACATGCTTTGGGCAGTGACCTCTCAAGGCTTTTCCAGCAGCTTCCAGTGGAGTGGCTTCTGAAGCCTCAAAACTGCAGAGGTCAAAAGAATACCTTCTGCGAGATGCCGGGCCTTTCTCAGTTTGATCAGATGTGCTGTTGTTGTCCGTGCCAATTCCGCTGTCACTAGGGATCGTTTCCTCACTATGTGACTCACTGACTGGAGACAGGGTAACTTCCTTGAGAGAGGCTACCTCAGAGAGATGAGAAGGCGAGTTAGCCATAAGTCGAGGAGGAGAGAGCTTCCAGCTACTGCTGCCAAGCAAGGCCTTGTGAGCTTTTGTGGGCAATGCACTGATAGGTTGAAGATTTGGCATGGTCTTCTGGTCCTGTAGGCTGGCATCGGTGGTGGCAGGACACAGGATCCCCCCAGCTCCAGCGACATGGGCAGAGAGCGTAGGAATGGCCCTAGGAGAAGGCATCCCGGCTGTAGTTAGTGGACTTGAAGGCACTACTAGGTTCTCAAACTGGCTAGAAATAGGCACAGGGTGCTTATCACTGGCTTTGTGCTCATCTTGGACCTTCAAAACAGCTCTCGGTTTCCTACCCCTCTTTTTGCCAATGTAAATAGTTCCTCGTTTACTGACGTTGATCTGCTTACCAAGACTAGCCTCTATTGTAGATGCCATAGTAGAAACAACATTTGACATGGGATTCCTTGACTTCCGGGCAAGACTGCTGCTGGTGGGACTTGAAAGTATTTTATTCAAGATGTTCTGCATCTTAACCAATTTCATTTTCTTCGCTGCCTGAACTGGCTTCTTTTCAAAAACACCAGAATAACTCTTAATTAGTTTATTCTCAGTAGCAAGGGCAGCATCCATGGTACTCATTGGCATAAGATTAGCTAAATTTCGCTTTTTCCTTCTTTGCTGCAAAGTTCCAGGTGATTCCCGGGTGATGGGACTTACAGGACTGGTGGACGTCCCCTCGTGGATAGTCTCCACCGTAAGCAATGGCTGCTTTTTAGGTCGCCCACGTTTCTTTTTAACAGGAGTGATCACTGTCAAGCTGTCAGTGTTGGTATAAAGTGGGCTTGAAGGTGTGATGGGATAGGCCGAAGGAGGTTCTGGAACACTTATTGATGGACTGCTGTCCTTCTGCTGACTGAAGTTTTTGGATTTCTGATATGACCCTCTTTCCTTCCCCTTTGGAGGTTTCAACTGCTTTTTTGAGTCGATCACTGCTCTTGACCTGCACAAAGGATGTTTTCGTAGTCTATCGTGACAACTTTCCACAAGTTCACAGGAGTCCACTGTGGAACCTGGTTCTGATGTTTCAGACATACTTTCCACTACTAGCTTAGTTGTCCTGGACTCTACCTTGTTAGGGGCCTTTGGCTCTGAAAAGCCCCTGATGGCATGTTCCACAATTTCGGATACCTGGGTCTCGTCCATTATGTCATCCAGCTGTATTTGATCTTTCGATGACCGGCGATATTGCCTCTTTTTACTAGGATACCCTTTGAACTCATCCATCTGTGGAGATATGGATCCTGACAGCACATCACTTTCCTCTGTGGCACTATTTCCAGTGCCCTCAATCTCTCCATTTGGTACTTGCACCATTTTATCAGGTCCATGCATTTGCTTGTCTTTTGAAATAACTTGACTTTTTGCTTCCAACTGGCTTTCTGCCTTCTTGCCCCACTGTAGATCTGAACTGTGGCTGACGAGGCACCTCATTGACTCCTTCCGGCCATACTTCCTCTTAATGTTTCCAAACACTTGGTCGGCTACCTCCTGCAAACCCCTCTCTTTGCTTAAAGATGACAGCATCATCAGATTGCTATCTGATTGTGTGGTCAGAGATGCATTTGTGGCAGAAGAGTGCAGTAATGAACTGCTCATCTGACTAGACCCACCGGCAGAAAACTGACTTGGGGACAGGCTTTCTGTGACCTTTTTCAGTTGCGATTTGAGAGGGGAGCCTGACAGATCTGGTGGAGGGATCTTGTGGGTTCCTGTTAATTCTCTTTTAGAATCGGAATCTGTCTGGTTTCCATGAGAAAGTGGTGACGGCTTTGTCCAGTCCAGTTGATGCTTGAAAGTACTTTTAAGCTGGTGCTTTGATTTCATTGATTCTCCCAGGAAATCCAACAGATCGCTTTCATTTTGTCCAAGAGACTTTTCACTAGTCTGCAGAGAAAAAAAGAGAGGGAGAAGACTTAGAATTATTCTATATTAAGTTATTTCAAGAAGTCTACGTTTTTAAGCATAACACACTAAAAAGTAATTTAATAAAACAGCAAGTCAAACATAAGAGAGAAGCAACCATTTGAAGCATATGGGCAAGATATATTATTTGAGCTCAGCTGAATTTCTTTAATGTTTGACACAGATCCATTTTAACATTCCACTCAGTAGCATTTCAAATTACTTTTACCCTGGGAAAAAGTGTTCTCGTTCATCTTGTTTGTTTTCATTTCCCCCAGTTTCTAGTGTACACTGTTCTTCAAAGCTGAGAGAAATATTCAGGTTTTCATAACTAAATTCATGGCACCCCAAAGGAAATCAGAATCTGGTTAATTTTACAGACTACTACTTGCATAAAGGTTCAACAAAATAAATGAAATTACTTTATCGCTCGCATAACCTCTTGTTTCATGAGTTATACCTGTAGTGTAGTACACTGACCGAACAACGACTAAGTACTGTAAGTACTTAAATGTACTTACATGTATATGATCAGAAAGTTGACTTTTTGTATGTGGTTTACAATTCATATTGATAGTAATATTAATCCATTATCTAACAATTTACTTTATGGGGGAGCCTGAGCCAAATCCCAGGCAGTGCAGGGCGCAAGACAGAGGGACACATTGGATGGGATGTCATTCCTTTGCAAGGCGCACACACATTCACACACTGGGCAATTCAGAGATGCTAATCCATTTAATTGCACGGCTCTGGAATGCAGAAAGAAAACTGAAGTACGCAGAAGAAACCCGCTCGACACGGGGAGTAAATGCAAACTCCACTCAAAAAAAGCAGGCGTGGTATTCAAAGCAATTACCCTTGTTTTTAATATGCAACAGGTGTACTTTTTAAGAGTAAAACACTCGTCATCTAAGGAGTAGCCATGTTCTTTGCAATTATTCATAAGTGTGTTGCAATGGAACGGAGCCTTTGGTACACACCATTTAATAATAACTTATCTAAACTTTCATCTGAAATAACAATCTACACATTGAGAGTAAAGGTACTCAAAAATTGGGAAAAAAAAAACGACAATACTACTCACATTGCAGCCCAGCAGTTGCCATAGCAGGTAAGAGACCCGAAACGTGATCATGGATTGGCACTGCGATATTCACAAGCCAATCTGCATACTCATGTACATAGCTGGAACTGCTTCATAAAATCTCACTTCATAAATAGCTAGTTAGGAAGCTATGTTATCTTCTCAAAAACGCAAGGCAGTGCGTATTACAATACAACTCTGCCCACCATGGTACAGGAGGTGGAAAAAAAAAAAAGATCTCCTGCAAGATAGCGCAGTCATTAACACAAGTGGCAGGTTTAGCAGCTGACGCAACAACACGCACGAGGCCATCCTGTTTTCAAAGCAGGCGGCTGCAAGCAAGTCTCGATGCTTAACCGCAATTTTGTTTTTTACCGTGGGTCAGCTTCCATTTTGTCGCTGTGAAGGCAGCGGGTGAGGCATGCCGTTTTGAAGTGTTCAAATGTCCTCTGTGGTTACAGTTAAACTTTCCTCTGACCACCTTATCATGTCGCCGGGTTCTCACAGGTCGCTGAAATTTTATGCACGTAGGGAAGGAGTTACATGGGCTTCTTCCTCGTGCTAGTATCCCGACATTTGAGTTTATATTTTTTAAGTTTAACAACTGCCTGGAGTTGGAAATTTCTTTATAGATTAATTGTATAAGTGTCAATTATTAGGGGGCTTTGTGACCATAGGGAGTTTACATGAGGAAGTATGTATAATGACTTTTATAATGAATTTATTAAAAGATTATACTTAACCTGACATAGTTAAAATATAATCTTTGGGCAAATTTAAAGCCACGGGGGAGTTGACTAATTATTACAATTATTTATGAGCAAATATGCCAGACCTAATCAACAGATATATTAAACTCCCCATTGAGCTTGGTACCGCGTGGAAGGTAAGGAACTTCACTCGAGGAGAGACGCCGGAGCAGGAGAGACTGAGTTGCACGCCGCTGCCAGCGCCGTCCTGCGTGGGGTCTCATCCCGATAATTTCAAAATCGGCCCATCTCGGGTTATCTGCTAGCTATTACTAGCTACAGAAGAACATGAAGCACATCTGCGGCCCCTTTTAGCAGCATCCTCAACGGCATTGTGATGCAAATCTCCTTGCCCCCGTTCCATAAATCAGAATGCGGTCATCCTGTGCCCTCTCTCATCTTGTCCCTCTCCTCTCATCCGTGCTTCCCTTTCTATCTATCCCTCCCTCCCACCATTCACCCACCATAATCAAAAAAGTGACAACTCATTAGGCTTCACCCCGAGCGGGCTGCAGCAGGATGCTTTATCTGCGACGCGCAGTCTAAGCAGTCATGCTCGTCTATGAAATAATTCCCAGCATGCTCTGAGAGGAGTCCCGGTGAAGGGAAGTGCGCTAGAGGGCTGTGTGGGTGCACACACACGTGTGTGTGTGTGTGCGTGTGTGCATCTAAGTTTCTCAGGAGTCCTTATTGTGCATAATCCCCTGCAACATCTTTCAATCAGTGGGTTTTAATTAAAAAATGGGGGAACACCATCGAGAGCCGCATAATCGAGAGATGATCTCTCCACAGGCCTTGCTCTTTTTTGCGTTTTTTCCCCCCCCGCCTAGCCCTCCCCATCTGCGAGCAACTGCATCACCTTTCACATTCCTAATCCTGTAATCCTTTGAGGAATTTGTGGTCTCCCCCCGGCCCAGACGATAATCCCAGCCTCCGCACACGAAGCCTTCCAGCTGCACCTTAATTCTACTAAAATGGCATTACGCTCCCATCATGCTACAAAAAAAAAAAAAAAATGTTACCACTGTTACATAACCCTGCGCGTCACCATGTCAGGGCAGTAAAAGTATTTACATGACATTTATTCTCTCTTGGCTGATGATCTGATACGAGCATGGAAAAGACTACAGCAGCAAAACACCAGACGGGGGTTTAAATAGGACCAGCGGTGTTTATGGCCATTTTTAAGCTTAAAGTTACGAGCAGTCTTCTCAAACTGCCCCATCTCTCCTCCAGTGACCATTTTTACATATACTATTCATTCACACACCAGCTCACTTAAACGGTATCACTTTCACTATAAAGTTGACAACATACTTGTTCATTACCAGTTATTCAGCAGTTGCCATTCTATATAATAATAAAAAAAAATTAAATCACCCTGCCTCCCCCACCCTCAATACTCGTCCACCATGCCAACAAAAGCCAGCTATCTTCCAAACCCAGAACTTTGCTTTGGCAAAATCATAGAGCAGCCGGCTTTAAAGGCCACCAAATCCCAGTGGGTTATAATTTACTGAAAGCCTTGATCCAGCAAAGAGGAGTCTCCCTCACAAGCAAGGATAAATACGTGAAGAGACCCAGATTACAGAGCCCCTTTCATGATAAGACACGCTCTGCGCAGCACCTTTTGCTCTTCTTCCCCCGCCATGTTTTTAACCGTAACGATGAGGGGCGGCTCCTCTTCCACCAGCCCCGCCCCCCAGGTGTGTACGTGGTATCCAAGGGTTACCGTGAGACCAGAGTGGCCAAAAATAGCCAGGGGTAAACCCCTCAGCTCAGTGTGATATCCAATCACGAGAATATTTTTCCTCCATCTTAACCCGACCTGTTAAACTGGCCCTGTTATCCAACCAACATTTACGACCATTACTGGGTGTAGCTTTTTTTTTTCCATTTTTTTTTCTTACGTTTACTACACAAAGATGTTTCTGTCGCCACTCCTCCCACCAGCAGATGGCTTAGTGGTCCAGAGGCATGAGTGCTAGCATCACATGACAGGACAGTCACTGAAACCTAATGCCGTCCTTACAAGGGATCTGGCACATTAAGACTTCAAAAATCAGTGTAGAGAGCATAAAAGCCAGCAAAATACAGCCCAACCTTAAACCCCACTCCAGACATGAAAAAAATGGCCTCTTGGGGGGGCAGTTGTTTCTGCTCTTCGGCACAGAAAAAATATCGAAGGTTAAGCCTAGAATCAAGGTCTCGCAGAAGCCCTATAGCCCTCCCATGGTTACAACTGGGTAAGCTTGCAGTCTGACCACCGGCAGTGTTGCACATAACCACAATACAAATTGGTCAAATTACAGTGTTTGTACACTAGTCTCTGGTGACAGTTTAAGGAATCCTGTGGGTGAAGGGGACCACGGGCTATAGCCTGACAGCCCGTGTGTCAGCTGTGCGGCTGGAGTCATGTGACATGGGAGAGGAGACAACACGAGGCCGGATGGGATGTCGTCTACCTGATATGGAAAAGGTGTCTCTGGTTACACTGATGTGTGTTATGATACACAGCATATTGAGATAGGAAAAAAAAGAGCTTTACAATAAACAATAAAAGGTTTCCATCCGTTCTTACCTCTAAATCAAATATAACTAAATATTACATACCCAAGAAATGAAAATAAAACAAAGAAATTCTTAGGTCGAAGTCATAAGAGATTTCTGTTAAGGTTGGGAGGCTGGGGCCGCAAATGACTATGAATCGATCAGTCTTCAGCAATGCAGTTTATGAGGTAAATGAAGAATAGACCTTTGGTGTCCTGATTTACATGACAAATCATTATAGTGTCTATATGCAATGGCAGGGGGGACATCGCCAAGTGGCTGACAGCTTCCACATCTTTGGTGATCACATAATAACTGGCAGTAACTGTGCCCAACTGGGAACCTGGTTTCATCCACCTTGCGACAGGCCATGAATGTCCAGTGACAGAAGACACGTAGGCTGTTGTGTCCTCCGGGCCCGTGACCTGGGAGCAGCTGTGCATTACACAAGTGCGTAACCGACAACGGTTTAATAATTAACGATGCACCTACAGTACAGTGATATAGCAGGCAGCGTGGTGCAGAAACAACCAGAGTACTTAGGGGTACAAAGGCGATACAGCTGTTGTACTATGAATATTTAACGCAGCTTGCAT